TTGAGAGGGTTGAAACAAGTTAATTAATAAAGGCACAGATAAAAAAACAGCTGTGCTTTGCCAGCCGTTTCCTAATCATTCCACAGCGTTTACCGCAAGTTCAGTAATGGTTACTTGTACTGATACGTGGGATTACTGGGTAAAAATTTAAAACAAATTTGTTGAATTTCGCTATTCTTTTGTGCACTGACGAGTTCAGCGGAGTTTAAGTCTAATGATAGATCCATGCCCCCACTGCAACACATTTTGGCAGAGGTGAGACTACAGTCAAATGTTACCCCATCAGTCTTCTCTGGTGGTGTCACATTGCACGGGATCGCGTTCCCAGTTCAAAAAAAAAACATGTGCGTTGCAATGCTGCTCGTACTTAAGAAGAAAATTCATTACGTTTGACGGGGCACTCAACTTTAATTTTCTGTTTTAGGAGGGAATCACATGTCTCGATTTCCACTGTAGTGGTCAGGTTTTTGCAGTTGGTACGGTGCTTGGACCCTGGATGGTTTTTAATGCGGATACTCGTGAGCAAGTTCACTTGTGCACTGACGCTTCAGAACCTGTTTCGAGTGTCCGGTTTTCACCAGACGGCAAGCTCATTGCTGTAGCTTCCAAAGTGGGCATTTTCATCTTCTTCGGTTATTCAGAACAATTACGGTGAAAAAAATCGCATCATCTGTTCTAATTAGATGCGTTCAGTATTTGAAACAAAGGTTTTCAGGACGCCCGGGCCTACATATACAATATCTCTGAAAATCTGAAAAGTTATTCAAAAGCAGCTCAGTTGGTTGTAAGTTTCATACTTTCAGCTACCAATGACTAGCAAAAATACACCAATAGATTGATAACATTTACAGCCAGGTAATGAAGATTCGCTTTACAGGGTTTGCTTTCTTTCATATCAACACTGGATTGGTCCACCGACAACAGTCTGCTACGATCAAATAATAACGACTTTGAGCAACAGATCTGTACGTTGATGTGCTTTTCTGTGTTTTAGTGCTTTAAATTAATTAGAACTGCTGAAAATTTCAATATATTCCTAGAACTACTCCAATCCGTCATGGTGAGGCTTTTTTGGTATTGAAATCGTAGAGTATTTTGTGGAATAGGACGTTTTCTGAACAACCAAAAGGCACAGAAAGTTACTGCCTTCTTGAGCTATTATGCGAATAAACTTGAGAGCGGGGAAAGCAAAATATAGTTACCTAACTTATTTGACCTTCTAAACTGAACTCAGATGCTCACTTTAACATGTGAGAACTGCTGAAATGACTGTTCCTCGTAGTAGTTTCGTTTTCTAGTGGATTCTTAGGGAATGCAACAACTGGAAGGCTGTCCGACACCGGGAAGGCGAGAAATGCCGTTTGGAGTTCTTCAAGATGCATCGTCTCTTTTGAAAATGGTTGTATTGCGCAGAGTATACCTGGAATAATGGCCATTGAACGCTCACTGGATTCGAAGTTTGTGGCAGTGGCAATTGATAACGGCGCTATACGCTTTTATCAGTATCCAACTACTAGCATTATGGTTAGTTCGTCCGGAAACGTTTAAACTTTTATTCTCTTTTGTGGTGGTGTCAACTTCATCTTGTTAAAGGATTTTATGCCGTCCGTAGTTTGACGTGTTAACACACTGACATGTCTTTAAGGTAACCATTTGAAGCAGAATTACGAGCTCTGCCAAGATTTTGGCAGGGAAAATTTGGGCTGCTTTCTTAAATTAAAAAGCATATTTAAGCTTCACTAAACTTACGTTTTAAAAGAAATACTTTCTTTACGTGAACTTTGAAGCAGAAATTAGCCGCTGGTACTACCGGAGAAAGTGAGGAAGTGCTTTAAAACGTCAGAAGGAACACTTATGTGTCATCCATCTCCAGTTTCTGATAAATATCATGACTGCATGAAGTTCATTTTTTTGCAGGCTATGTATAGGGAGATATTCGGACACAGTGCATTCATAGGAAATATTGGATTTTTACAAACCCACCTGATCAGCATTGGAGCCAAAGACAGTGCGATCTTTCAGTGGAAGATCTGATAATCCCCGCTTGTTTTACTTCTGATGACTTCCATTTTATACGGGTTCTTTTTGTTTTGCTCTTAAACAAAATATTTGTATTTGTATATGGTGATACAGTTCCCGTCCTGTTATATGACCTCTCTAAATTTTATTTTGACTGTATTTGCTCTTTGAATGTAATATTTGTGTGGTTGATTGGGAAAATGTATTTTCGGGTGTCGAGTATGAAAGGCTCCGGGCTCTCATACGCGACACGTTTGATCCATGTTCTCGTTTCTTAATTGAGGTTTTGCATCAAGGCTGAATTCATGACTGGGGAAGTTGGGAGGTGCTGGAGGAGTGGTATGACATTTTTTGCATTCTTGCTGGTGCAGTATTGGCTAAGGCAAAGTTAAGTAGTTTACTTACGAGAGTTCTGCATAAGAGCAGTTTTTGCAGAGCTCTTGATATGACGCAGCTGTGCATTAAACACACGAACATTTGCGCAGACCGAGTAAAGAACCGTGGGCGATTAGTATAATACTTCTCAAAGTTAAATGTTCCTTGCACGTTGGTCAACTACCGTTCCTGTGCTGCTCCTTCAGTGGGACTCGCTGTAGGGGGCCAAATACAACTATGTTTCCCAAGCAATTCCTTGAGCCAGCTCTATGTCAGCTTTTTTCAGGTGCTTGATAGCTGCACCGTGAAGACCGAGGCATTTGAGCATGGCATCCATGTGGGCTGAAAAGAAACTGAAGTGCCTTCTAAGATATAGTTGTGAGGTGCAGGGTAAACATCAGTTAAGGACTTAAGTGATCTTAGACAGAGGATTTAACTAGCTTGAAAACTAGGCTTTTTTACGCGAAAAAAGAGGAACTAAATCGAAGGTTTGTACAAGACGATAAGACATCCTGGCGCTAAAGCCAGGGATCGAGGGAGGGGGGGGGCATTGTTAACAGCAGAGAGTAAAAACAGTCCAAACTAACGAGGTAAAGGTGCCGAAGCTACCAAATCCAAACGTTCTTCAGAACGGTCGTAAGGATCAAGTATAGGGAAGACGGTCCGATAAACATGCATATATATAGGGAGTTTGGTATAAATATCTTTTGTAGAAAGAGATAACCGATTAGAAAGAGAAGAAATATTGCTCTGAAAAAACTCAGGGGTGCCAGTAACATCCGTGATTTAAAACTAAAGTTGGGATGACGGGGTAAAATTTAAAAAAAAAAAGAAGCAAACCTGGATTCCCTTGACGCGATAAACATCTTTTGGAGCAATTAGCGAAAGGACGCCGTCAATCTCAACCACACGCTGCATATACATCTGATCCCCCAGTATCGGACAGTATATTTCTGTCAACATCAGTCTTGGTAAATGATGGCTAACTGAAAGTGTATTTAAATGATGTAAAGGGAACTTCGGTAGCATAATTTGCACCGAAGTGTACTTGTTAGAAATCGTAGGCATTTTTTAAATGAAATTTCGTAGACTACGAGTCACATAAGTGAATACATTTAGTAAATGTAATGTCGATTAAAGAACATCCGTACTCGGTCGCGACTACTTTATAATTCATCTTCCCCTCGATTGGATGTCGCCACAAGACTGCTTTTCCTCCAACTTCACCATCTCGGACAAAAATATACTGAAAAAACCTAAGTGTTCCAGCAGATAAACAACTGTCAGCAAAACTACGAAAATTAATCGGAAGGAAGTAAAGAAGAACCTCATTATGATCTCGGACCTTCTGGAATGCCACGCGACCTTTTACAAAGCCTTCCATTTTTGAAGGAGACCCCATGCAAATTACTCTATAAATGACTAGCAAACTCAAATAAGCAAGAATTATTAAAACTCTTATTACTACAAATTCTTCAGTTCTAAAAGTCATTGGAAACCTAGAAAAAAAAAAACGCGAAAAGGAGCTGGATGCAACGCACAGAGCATGGTGGCGAAATCCACTATTGATAGGCTGTTCAGCAGAGTGATCAACGCTTCCTCTTATCCTTCTGAGAAATTTTTTTCTCAGTGGTATTACAACAGGTCCAGAAACGTACCTACAGAAGTACATGTTTGATTTAAGGGCATCAAGTAACGGCATTTCTCTTGGGAAATTTACCTTACAAGAAGTGTAAAGTTTGCACCGAAAAAAATCTTAATTACAAATGACATATCAAATTTCACAGAAATGCTTTCTCGTTCAAACCACATTTTAAAAAAGTGCAAATAAAAAGAACATGAGTTAAAGTGAATTATCTTACCAGATGAAGTATTAAATTGCCTACGTGAGCTTCGTAAAACTTTAGATAATGTAAACTAAAAATGATGCTTGAACCTTTAAACGCAAACTGATGCAAACTCTCATTAGAACCCCTTAAGAATTCCAAACTATTTTTAAAATTAAAGGAACACAACTAATTTTCAGTTGATCCTCTCTTTGTCATTTCGAATTTCGCTCAGCACCAAAATGCCTATTTGAAAAAAGCCGACCAAAGTTTACAATAACAAAAATTCCGCTTGCTTACCTCCCAAAAATGGCTTTACAGCGTAAGAAATAAACGGGTTTGTATAAGAACATCAGGAGTTATAAAAGGACAAAGTACGAATCTTGGAGTGTGTATACAACCCCCTACAGTTAACGAGTAAGGCTTGGAAGGTTATATCAAAAAAGTATGATGGAAAGAGAGTTTAGAATTTCAAGAACGAATGCCTCTCGCAGCAAAGAAATAGCCTTTTAACCTTCGAGAAATGCCGTTACTTGATGCCCCCTGTATTTAATCATTAAACATTGATGAAATGTGACAGCTAGTAAATAGAAGCTAATATAAACCTTTTCAAACCAAAACAAAACATCAGCTTCCGCTCCTTCAAATATTCCTTGATCAATGGGAATGTTTCCTCTAAAGTAACGGTGGCCTCAGCTGAAGCCTAAATGAAGTTTTTCAAAATAATCTCCTTACAAATCAGAAAGTTAGAAAATTGTAAAATACCATGTTATGCATACCAAATAGTTCCACGTATGCATGAAACTGTGTTTAAGGATGACAGTAATTCCTAATAAATTTTATATTCTCATGAAATTCCAATTAAGAAGTGAGAAATGTATATAAGTATCTGAACATGTAAATGGAACATACGGTTTCGTTAGTGACTCGCACTTGTTCATCCAAATCAAGCGTGTCAGTGTAAATACCACCATTTTTTTGCTTATAACCCAGGCATGACAATCCATAGGGTTTGTTCAAGATCAAAAAATCTCCTAAACTGAGGCTGGATTCAAAACAGAACAGTAAAATAAGAACAGCGATTTATTGATGCTGGGAGACTCATACTGTGAACTAAATTTCTGCAAAATTAGTTATGGTTGAGCTGAAACTTTTACATCGACATCTGTGGTGTTAAGGTTTCATTTTTCGGAGCGCTAATAAAAAAAAAACCGACAATCCACGTAAGTTAAAAAAAAAACTTGCAGAGAGTATCGCATTTTCAAATGCTAGTATATATTAAAAACAAAATACTCCAATCCACGTTGGCGAATCGAAGTAAACAACTTTCAAAAAACATAAACCTGGTCTGTAAAGGATGATCTGGTTGATCAAGAGTTTGGCTAAACCTTCAATAGTGAAAGGAAGTGTTACGCAAGTGGCAGCCTGAACCAATTCTTTGCTTGCTGGTGGACAGCTGAAGTATAAGTGCTAAAAGTGCCGGAAAGAACACATCCTACCAATTAAATTTTCATAACTCTATGCAGAAAATATTCAATTTATCAGCTAAAAAAAAATAACTGCATTTTTTTTCAAAAAACTATTGAGACCGAGCTAATGCGAAAAAAGGTTCTGAAGAATAACCAAAAATAGCATTAAAAAGATGAGCACAGCGTTCCAGCATTCCCCTCTTCTTGACATTAAAAAAAAAAAAAAAAAATTAGTGGAAATAACGCAGCAAATAAACTGAGTGCTTATTCATTACTCTACGTATAGTTTACAACTGTCTCCAGTCACGGATTAATTCAAATAAACATATCCGAGCAGAGGCGAAGTTAAGCACTGTTTTACCTTCGGTTCGTTCCCCCTCTTTTACAAACAAACATATATGCAAGTTCTCGAAGCCGAAGAAAATGAGTAGCTCGACGAAACATAGTTTTCGACATCACAGTCTGCCCAAAAAACCTGAAGTTATCCAACTCAGAACAAAAAACAACTCATGATGTTTCGTCATTACTTTCCACTTTATCCCTGAGGAACGTATTTCTGCCTCATCAAAATAAAGCAAGACATCTTTCATCTTTCTACTACACCAATCTATTTAAGCGCATCAAACGTTAATACCCATCAAGCCTTTCAGAATCAGTGAACAAAAAGCTGTGAGCAGCATCTTACTACAGATAAAAAGAAAACAAATCAACAGCCTTTAACTGCCTTTAAAAAAACACTCTACTGGAATGAGCAAACCCAGTAAAAACTGGCCCTTTAAGAAAACCAAATTTGTTATGCTGTAGCTAGACTGAACAGTACTAGCATTCGTTTATAAGTCTAGGAAAAAACAACACAATACCAAACATATACTACATTAACAAATGTTTCAAGAAATACAAATATGCAGTGACCATAAAAAACAACCACAAGAAATTTATTCATTTATTCATCACCCGAACAGTACTACTACAGCACTCCAAACCATTAGAACTCCAAGAATTACACTAGACTAATAATGATATAGTGAAAAATTTAACGCTAACCGTTTTCCCACATGGCTTGGAGTTGATGAGCTAGTTGCACAACGCTATTAGCGCCAAAATAAATAATATACACTTCTTTAAATACCCGTATAAACAGCTCGCGATCATTTCTAACAAAAAAATCCAATCAGAATCACACATACTCAAGAAATCAAACAAATGTACAAAAAATGATGCACCTAATGTTTCTTCGCACCATCAAACCGAGATTTCCTCTTTGCCTCACTGAGCTTTGATGATTCTGATTTTGCTGCCGCAGCTCTTTTCTCGACTGCTGCATTATGCTTTTCCATCAGTTCTTTCTGCATCGTACCTAAAATTAACATTTTGACTAAAGTATCTTAAATTAATTTCGAGTTATATCTTACCCCAAACTAAAGATCAACATCTAATATAACGATCTAGAAATTATGACAGAACCACTTCTTCAACAGAAAACAAATATTAAAAAAAGCGTATCTTCTAATGACTGTGCTACTTGAACACGAAGAGTATAGATATCCAGAAAGAGAGCTCTTCAAACACTAATATATAACGTATTCTTTAAAACTAGCTACTCCAAGCAACAAAGTTAAATAGAAATAAGTAAATAAAAAAATCAATTAAAAACTGTTCTCTGAAGAGCTCGTAGGCGAATTTCAATTCTTTACGTTACTCGTTTAAAACCAATTATAGATCACCTATCGAATCGTAAAAGCAGTCCTCAGAAAATCCATGAGGATCAAAAACACGGGGGTTGAAATTTGAACCAAGTTCATCCACATGAAACTTCTCTATTAGTTGTTCATACATTGAAGGATTCTCAAAATCTCGCCTCTTCTTTATCATCAAATTTAAATCAACACCCGCAGCTTTCCTTTTAAAGTAAGCTTCAAACCGTTCCTAAAAATCTGTTATTGGTGATTAGCGGATAATATCAACAATGAAAAACAGAACTGTTACGCACAACGCTTAAAAAAAAAAATACAAATGAGCTCTTTACTGCGCTGCACAAAAAGGCTTACAGCAGATGTTCCAGCTATCTCAAAAAAGTAAACAAGTAGAAACGTTTCAGCGTAAAAGTGTGACCCTCACATATAACGATCAGTATCAAAATAGAAGCAGAACTAAAATAAGCTTCGGCTGACAAAATAATCCAATTTCTAGTTTCAGTTCTGCTTCACTGGTAGAAACATTACTCCATGAGAACACCTTTAGCAGCAACTGACCCATTTCAGAAAATTTTATCATTCCATCCAGACAATATGACTTTTGATGTATAAAATCTCCATTTGTGGTAACGCAGCCAAGTATTTAAGGAACAAAACCTCTAAAAAACTTAGAAAGCTATTTCTTCATCTCATTTTTTCGCAATCTCATTCAACAAATTGCGCATAAAGTGACCTTTTTATGCAGCTCTATATCATAACTCTCCTTATTCCATAAACAATAAGAAATTCAATAACCCCTCATGCACTAGCACATTTTTGATACATGTCATCACTCCCTAAAATTTGATGGTTAAATGCAAATTTAACTCCGAAAAAACCAAATTTGTTACTGAAAAAATCTTCAAAACCTCTCTTCAGCTTTCCACAATAATTCCAAAGTAATGTACTCAATCATCTTCCAAAAAACTTTACACCTTTGTTTCCTGCTCTTAACCAGTGAACCAGAAAAAAAATCACCTCAAGACGCGGAGAGCACCTTCCAGTCGGAGTTGGCGGTAAAGCAACATCTTCGTCAGTTTCGGCGGGTATTGGACTTTCCGTTCCGTCGAAGGAGTGGGGTGTGCTACCAGCAATACTGTTGTCTGTACCATGCGCATACTGTAACATATAGTTACTCAAAAAAACAAGTAGATTTCAAAATATAGGCGACCGTACCACTTAAAAGCTTATCTTTCAAATCCAACTCAATTTTGCCACTCCAAATATTAGTAACTGAGCAGTTACTGTCAGAACAACGCATTTTAAAATTGATAAATGAAATACCGATTGCGCCAATTCGCGAACACCTTCTTCAAGGATATTATCCACAGCGATCTCATCTGGCGATCTGCTATCCTCATGTCCTCTAGGCGGTTTTGGCTCCCTAATAACGGTACTTGACCTGCTCCTATCGTCCATCTCCTGTTTCTCTTTTTTCATTTCTATTGCTCTTTTATCCGCTGAAATAAATTAGTCAGTGAAACAATGTACCAAAACAAATATTCAATACAAAGAATCTCAGTTATAACAAGATATTACTTTTTCAAGGCATTTAAGAAAAGAAACTGCATTGGTGCACACCAACAACACTTTCCTGATTTAAAAAAATTTGTAAAAAATGATACAAAGTGCGAGAAAACTTCAAAAAGACAAAGTCTTCCACACAAAGGACTTCTTGAATTTACTAGTGAAACATCTTCCTCTTGTAACCGTCACAAAACGGGAAAGGCTCTTCCCCAATCACAGACAAGTTGAAGCGGTATTTACTTTTAACAAAAATAACTTTTCAAGCAGCATCTACCTCCCCTTCTAAAGCCTAGAAGCAGTATTCAAGTTGAACCTTTTGCAAATTGGTCATCCTCATCATCATCATCACCTCCTCCGTATGATACCAACGAAGATTGACTTTGCGTTGGGAGCAAATGGAGATCAGGACGAGCATCCGAATTTTTCGGGAAAAAACCGGAAGACTTTGACCCATCAAGCTCTTTCCGACTTTCCTCAGATACTGTCAACGTATTCATGACTGAAGAAGGCGAACGTTCACCAGACTTTTCGTCTTCTGAACTGGACGTTTCTGATTCATCTCCATTTTCGCCTTCCTCTCCACTGGAAGCTAAAATACACAAAAATACAAAAAACACCACTAAACTCTGACATACCAAGACTGGTAACTAAGTTAAGAAATACGAAGATTTGTGCCGATTAAGTTTTGCCGTACTGAGCTATATTACTGCAGATATCTTACTTCCTCCAATCTACCGCTGAAAATCGTCAAAAATCGAATTATTATCTCTCGGCCAAAATTTTTTCAATTTATCATTTGAAAAACAATAATCAGGTTCGAGGAGATGCTGAGAATAAATTAAAATTATTGCAGATGAAAAACCCTCTATGATTTAAGACCCCAGGAAAACTTTGAAGGATTCCAGTCAAGACTACAATGAATATAATTAATCTCATTGACCTAATAAATGCAAGTTCTTGGTCTCAACTTTTGGAATTCAAAAAAAAAAAAAAAATTATAAAAGACACGAGTTATTTTTTGCGAGACTATCCCAAAAGCACATACTGCTTCACCAGCCCCAATGACACTCATTAGTGCCTTGACACCGTTTTCAAAGCTTAGTAACTTAGCTAAAAAATACGTTAAACAACGTTATTTCACGTGTCAATGATACCTTTTTATATTTATCTGAGCCTCCAAGCAAAATAAGACCTTCTGTCTTCAAATAATAATGCAAAAAAATAAAACCGCCAAGTCTAGGCCATAAATAAAGCTGACAAAAATAATCTTCCAAAGCACTCATTAATTATCAAATAACTTTGAGGGAAGTCCAGCCCAAAAACTTTTCAACTCCCACTTACTTGAGAATTGAAAATCTCGTTACTCTAAGCCTATCCTTAGAATTCCTGCTTAAAGTAAAAGGTCTTTTTTTGTTCCTCTCTGTACAAATTGATTACCCAGAGAAACTCGAAAAAATAACGACAAAAAAAAAAAAAAACAAGTGCCAAATTAATCCAATTTCAACCTATTCCTTATTCTGCAAAAAGCCCCAGCAAAATAACAAGGCAAAAGTGGATTCCAAAGGAACGAAAACACAAAAATGTGAAGCAGTAGAACATACAAAACAAAAAAATAAATAAAACAAGAATAAATTAAATAAAAAGAAAATGGTAAAACTGCAAGCAACAATGACCAACAGCAGCTGAATAAATCCTTTCAAAACCTTGAAGCCCCTTCACCTCCTCCAAAAAACCAAAACGTGGCAACAAACAGATTTGAATTGAGTCGTCAAACAAAAGAAATTTTCCGGAAATTAAAACTGAAAAGCACAAAAACTTCCCAATTGAATAATATTCGTTAACTGACCTGTCCAACGTTCTGAATTCTTGCGAATTTTTCGACCTCCAGACTTCGAATCCAAGACATTCTCTAAAAAAATTCTGTAACAATGATAGTTCAAATAACCCTAGCTATAGAAAAACAAATTCAAATCTCAATGCCTAGAAAAAATAACACCCTTGAAATACCAAGTTATAACTAACTTACCTAGTTTTTCTAACCCTATTACATAGGAGAGCATATGAGCAGATAACGGCAGAAATTACAAAATGCCGTTGAGTTTCTTGTATTACATTGGCTCAATGCGTTTTCAAAGTCCGTGGCGCAATTAAAAAAAAAAAATCTTCCCCAGTAAAAAAACCTTTGAACGCCAACCTCAGTGAAGGCACAGGAAGAAAGGTTCAATAGTATTTGGAGAGTCAATTTGATATCTCCGGCAGAACATTTTAAACATAAGAAAAAGCAGTAATACTGAGTAAATTCACACAAACTACGCTACTTCTGAAACCACGGTTTCTTTAAGTCAAAAACTGGATGAAATCTCCTTGCTAACATGTAAAACTGGAGTTATTTTAAAAAAGAAAAAATATCTCTACAACAAATCTCAAAAAAAGTAAATAAACAAATAAAATCGGGCAAAAACCAACTGTCCCCTTCCGTTTCATCTAACTCTCTTTTAATCACGTTTGACTCGTCGCGTGATCTTCTCCTGTCTGGGGATTCATCATCACTTCCATAAGCCACAAGCCTTCTACTCATAACTTCTGAAAATAAAGCATGAAAACTTTAATCTCCAAGAAAATAAAGTTCCATAGCTAGAAAAATGGATGAAGGAGAGCACATACGCCTGACAATGAACAGATACTTTTAACGATTGTAAGTGCGCAAAAGTCACATTAGCCAGCTATGGTGTACAAAAATAAAGCCAGCAAAGCTGCGTACCTTCGTCTTAAAAGTAGAAAATTTCCGCTTCAGAAAAAAAAAAAAAAAAAACATGTAGTCACACGAGATCCTAGGATTAAAGCCGATAAAAGCCAAAACTAAATAATTAGCACCAGTTGTAGCGCTGCCACACGAGGATTATTTGTTTCCACATTTTAATTAAGTTTTTCTATTTCTACAAGCGGATAGGTTGTAGCCTTCCGCTTCAAGAATCTCCTTGCAATGGTTCACCGCCTCCTTCAGGGTTTGAATGGTGCAGAACTGCAGTCTGCAAGAACCTCTACAAAGACATGGTGATTTGCAGCATTCTATTTCATACTCTGTCTCGTCCCCTCTGCCTTTTCACTCTTTAACGTAAACAGCTGAAACTTGGGCGTGACAACTCAAAAAATCTCTACATTAATCAAACACTAAAACCTGGGGAAAAAAAAAAAAAAAAGAAACATCCACAGAATAATTATAACTGCGTGCAGTTAGTAGACCTCAGACTTCTGAACTTATTTTAAGTAGCAACAACCAGCTGACTGCAGTCACAACAACTTCTAGAGCCAGCACGAACTTCCGGAGAGAGCATGCAAAAAATTGCCGCCCAACAACAAACAGTGCGCAGAAACACAGTCCGTTAGCTCATCAGGAAACACTCGTCTCAGTTTACAGTCATCTTCGAAAAGCGCGGGAACCGCAATGGATTCAAATGCGTAAACGCTGCTGCTGCTTGGCATTTGTATGCCATTCAAACAGATGTTTGTGCCTTAGTTAGGCATGTACTATACTGCCATGTTTCCTGCTTCTTCCAAGCAGAATCTCTTCTAATTTGGCTGCTTCTTTGAAACCGTGAAAATTCGTCTTCCACAGGATAGTATTGTCTGTACAGCAGTACTCAATTTCCTATATGTACTTCAAATACTTTATTGAGACTATTAAAAGGAAGTGTTGCTGTATTAGCTTGCTTCAGGTTGTCCAAATTATGCTTCTATGTCGGTTTATCGATATTATAATGATGATTACTTTTTTTTTTTTGTATCTTTTCAGTTTTTATGTTGTTATCGTTAAAAGAGTCTTTTTGAAAAGTTCTGCGATTGTGGCTTTGAATTTTTGAGATTTGCAAAAATTGTTATTTTCATTATTTAGTAATCAGAGACGCTTGTAAGGCTTGTCGTTTATTGTTCCGGTATTTTAAAATTATTGCACAAGTTTTGGTTTCACTGTTTATCTAAATTTATACGTGTAAATAATTCAGAAGACACTGTTCAGCAACAGGAAATTTCGTTTTTTGGTTGGAATTGCGGAACTTTCCATTCAGCCGACTGCTCGCAACTTTTTTTAGAAACTTATTGGACCTTAGTCATTGTTTATGGTATATTATTATTATTAACTTATTATTATTTATGTGTTTGTTTATTTGATTATTTGTTTTATGTTTATTATTACATTTATTTTTATTTATATTATCATTATTATTACTACTATTACTATTATCATTATTATTACATGTATCATTATTATTACATTTATTTTTATTATTATTACTATTATTACTGTTATTATTATTATTATTATTATT